GGGTATCAAAGTTATTTTTTTTTTAACTTTGTGGTATCCACGGGAAAGAAGGGGGAAAAACTTTTGTGTATCAAAAGTTAATAACGGTGTAAACTTTTGGGTGTTTAATTGCAAATAATCCTTAAGTAATCGATCCTTCATCCTTAAAAAAGTGAGGTATGGACACAGTAGTTTAAGTGACATTTTACAGTGTTACATTAGTAGTGTGTGTGCGTGTCTTCTCTAGGCTCTTTAGTTTCACTTTGTTGCACAAGGTAGCAATCATCAATCCTTAGAAAAATTTTCCATCACTTTCAGGAAGACAAGTAGTCAAAATCATCATAGTCCTCTTCTGGAATCTGTTCGCTCTGACTAACTCTCCATTGCCAACACCATTTTACAAGGAAAAGAGACAGTGACGATGACAAATTTATGAGTCCCTCACAGAAACAGTAAAAAGAAAGAGACAGAGAACAACCCTCAATTGCTCAATCACAAAGAAAGAAACTCAGCATTATTAGAATATAAAAATATAACCCTCAACTTTCACGACAATGTTGGAGTTGTGGCGGAGCAACCCAGGTTCAATCCCATTGGTCACAAATCTAAAGCGGATTTTCTAAAAATTAACGTTGTTATGTGAATCTAGGCTTGGTCCATAAAAAGGACACTCAACTTGGGGAGGCATGTCAAAAGATAAAAATACAACCCTCAACTTTCGCCGCAACTTCAGAGTTGTGGTGTAACGATGAGGGCCTTTAAGAAGCAATATAGCTTTTAAGCTTAGCGATATATATTTTCAAAATTTCCATACTTCTCTTAGCTTTAACGTACAAAATGCAACCTTTAAGGGAAATGGAAAAGGAAAAAGTTTATTGAAATTCCCTTTGTATCCATATAGCTAATATGCCTGTGAAATTCTTTTGGTATAAAACCAAATTGCATTCAGTTTTGAGAGTGCCCCAAAGATTTTAAGTTTGTGGGAATTAAAAAAATATTCTCTCCTCTTTCTCAATTATCCAACATAGCAGTGCTAGAATTGTGTCTTTGATTCTTTGTATAAGTTTATGAGAATTAGATAGGGATAGAGATCTATCATGATTAAGAGATTGGTTCTCATCATGATTAGAAGTTTGTATCATATTATAATTAGGAAGTTTGGCTAGGATTATGGTTTTGGTTTCTATATATATATTATTCTATTATTAGAGGAAAAATCAAGGAAAGGAGAGAGAACCAATATTCTTGCAATCTAGGGTTAGCAGATGGCGTAGCCTAATTCAAGAATATTATGCAAGAGGCGATAGTTTCGTAGTCTTTGTCAATGCAAAAGATTACAATATTAGGAGAGAAGAATATTATGCAAGAGGCGATAGTTTCGTAGTCTTTGTCAATGCAAAAGATTACAATATTAGGAGAGAGTTTCGCAGTTTTTGTCCGTTCAAAAGATTATAAGGAGTAGGTTTTGGAGAAAATATGAGAGTTGATTATGTATGTGAGATTGAGAGATTGAGATAAGAGAGTTGAGTGGTTCCTCTTGTAGTTCTCCTTGATACATATTGAATTTCTCGTATTGTTACCCCGTGAATGTAGGTCGAAGTTGGTCGACCAAACCACATTGATACATATTGAATTTCTCGTATTGTTACCCCGTGAATGTAGGTCGAAGTTGGTCGACCAAACCACATATATCTCAGTGTTCTTTCTTCTTGATTGTGACTGTTTTCTATCTTATTGCTTGTGGATTGACTTTCGAATTGTAGAGATCCTAATAGGGGGGAAAGTAAAATCCCCAAAAAGTGGTATCAGAGATGTGGTGATGGATTTAGGGTTGAGTTCACGAGATAGAAAGCAACGTCGTGCGAGATTGAAGATCGGCGTCACAAGAATCATGACGAAGGAAAAAAAAAGGAGAAGTAGATCCAACCGGTGGTAGAGGACAACCGGCAGAGGCAAATCTCGACAGTGTTGCCGAGATGGAGTTTTGTTGATTTGCTTTCTGGTGTAGAAAACAAGTATAAAAAAGGCTGAATTGTGAGGCGAAGGGCATTGTTCATTCATGTGGGGAAAGAGAGAAAGGTTTCGGGATGTTGTGTGGAGTTTGTTGTTGTTTGGTGCTTTTGGCCCTTAGGAATTCGAGTCAACAAAGGAAAAAGGAATTCACTTTGGCAGCAAGTTGTTCTCGTGGGGTTGTGAACACATAGGATCAGGTATTTGGTAAATTTTAGTGTATGGATTTATTTTTTAAATTCAAATCAACGACTGAGATTGATTGGATTGTAGATCAGTGAATCAAAAGTGGAACACGATGATCCAGGAGTCGATTTATAGGTTTTGGAGTGCATGAACGCAATGGAAGGGTCTGATTTTTCAGACTATGTTCAGATTGGTCAGAAAGTATAGAAAAGTTCTGACAGTGATGGTGAGACAAATCTGATACAGATAGGGCAAACAAGTATGCGACAGATGAGACTGATGTAGAGAATTAGATGTGATTCTAACAGTAGAGTTATCAACATATAATTATTCGGAGTCATCGCAGGAGCATGAGTTGGTTAGTGTGTAACCTTGAGGAAGATAGTGCCAGATTAGGTAGAGCTAACAAGCGGGCACGACTAAGTGACACACAAGTGATAGAGGAGATAGAGGCATCCAGCTCGTAGTGTTGAGTAGGAAAGGTGCACCTATATAGTTTGAGATGAGCGATGCAGGTGGAGCACAAGGACAACAAGCGGGTGAGGCTATTGTCAGGCTCAAATTAGAAGGACGAGCATGATTGATTTGCTTCTAATATTAGAGGTGGTGAAGATCTCTTGATGCGCACAAGAAAGGTAGAGGCGACACAGTGAGGCAGATGAAAGTGAGGGTCATAGGGGCATTCAGGTTAGAGTACGGGTATTTCAATTAGAAGTGCAAATGCTTCGAATTGAAGTACAAAAGAAATAGAAAGACTCTAACAGGAGAGACAAAGTTTCAAGACGGCAATAGTAGATCTTCAATGTGGCTTGGGAGTCAAATCTAAGGTGGAGATTGTTAGAATTGTATCTTTGATTTTTTTGTATAACTTCATGAGAATTAGATAGAGCTAGAGATCTATCATGATTAGAAAATTGGGTCTCATCATAATTAGAAGTTTGTATCCTATTCTAATTAGGAAGTTTGGCTAAGGGTAATATTTTGGTTTTTCTATATATATTCTTTTATTATTAGAGGAAAAACTAAGGAGAGAAGAGAGAGCTAATTTTCTCGTAATTTAGGGTTAGCAGAGGGTGTAGCCTGATTAAAGAATATTGTGCGAGAGGTGAGTGTTTCGTAGTTTTTATTCGTATAAAAAATTACAACATTGGGAGAGAATTTTACAGTCTTTGTCCGTTCAAAAGATTGTAAGGAGTGGGTTTTGGAGAGAATATAAGAGTTGATTATGTATGTGAGGTTGAGAGATTGAAAAATTGAGAGACGATAGTTGAATGGTTCCTCTTGTAATTCTCCCTGATACATAGTGAATTTCTCGTATTATTGTTCCGTGGATGTAGATCGAAGTTGGTCGATCGAACCACATATATCTCGGTGTTTTTTCTTCTTGATTATGGTTGTTTTCTATTTTATTAATTGTAGGTTGACTTCCGAGTTGCGGAGATCCTAATATAGGGGAGTAAAATCCCCAACAACCAGAGCACTTCCTCGGATATGCGCACGCCTTAATACTTCAACTCTAACTCCGGACTATTATAGTCATGATGATTCATAATACGTAAATCCTAGTTATAAGTTATCAAAGTTTACCCGAATATTAGGGTTTTTTTTCCTTCTATCATGTTTTTTTTCCACGAGTTTGACAAGCACATTCGATGCTTCACTATTCAACTCTTTTAGTTCCTAAATTGAGGGACTTACACTTGAGACTGAACAATGAGATACTACATGTCAAATAATTGCCGGCATCCATTAGATCCGTGGAACTTCGTGGATGCTCGCTCAAGATACTCCAATTACAAATGTTGCTTTCTTCTTTGAATCATGAGCCAGTTTACTCTTCAGAAATATGGCAGTATAATAAAATGAAAGTTAATCCTCAAGAAATTTGTAATAGCAATAATATGTTAATAATCCACTTAAGATCCTTTTTGCCCTTTGAGAATTGAACCTATTCTAAAGCCAACTTAAAAGAGTTTTCCACTGCACTAATACCCCAAAGTCGTCATGAGGGTTGAGGGTTATAATTTTTATACTCTAGTGATGATAGTAATATGTACTAGAATTTAGCCTTGTATTTAAGTTGAAATGACAAAAGAACGCATGAGGAGCAAGCAGCGGCGGGCAGAGCTTCGGGTGGTTGGCTGAACAGTCCAACTGAATTGGTTCTCAAGCGGTAAACAGAACGCCCCTGATTTAGGTCAAAATCTGAATCCTGCTCAGGTTAGGAGTACTATTTATGTTGTAGAACTTTACGAATGGGGTATGATACAGGAGATCAAGTAATTGGACAAGTAATTAGACGAGACGACATCTCAACTCATCCAATATCCGACGTCTCAACAATATCCGACATCTCAACTCGTCCGACATCTCAACTCAATATAAACCAAGTCATCTCAGCGGACGAGACGACATCGAAGCAGATGAAACGTCATTTCAGTGGCATTGGTTTAAATATCGGCCGATAATCGAAATTATCGGCCGAGTTATCGGATTTTTTAGCTCTCCGCTAGGATAAGTTGGTTTTGTAATCGGTTATCGTTTTGGAAAGATTATCGGCGAGTTATCGGCGTTATCGGCACTTATCGGCTGATAAGTAAGACTAAATTATCGGGATTATCGGGATTATCGACCAAGCATTTTGAGTTGAGTTGTTGAGTTTTTAAAACCCAACCCGACCCGTTTTGTTAATAATATGAAACTTAAAAGTCGAAACTTTATGAATCCGACCTTCAAACCC